CGCAAGAACCCGACAACACCGCTACAGTACCCGACGAGATCGTCAAGCCGCCCGGCCTCCCGCGCCTGCAGCGTCTTCCACTCGCCCAGCGCCTCCAGCAGCTCCGCGTCGGCCATGACGAGGTCAAAGTGCAGGCGCAAGAACACAGTCATCCAGGCCTGGACGAGCTCGTAGTCGCGACGGGCCGCGAGGCGGCTCGTCAGCGCGCGGATGAAGTTGAGGAGGCCGCCGTCCTCGGGCGAAAGGGAGCGGAGCTCGAGGTCTGCCGTCGAGGGGGACAGGGATTTGAGGTGGGTGATGAAGTCGTCGACTGGTTTGCATGTTAGCTTCTTCTTTCTTTTACGTATGGATGACGCGGGTGAGTGGGGGATTCAAAGAAGGAAAAATCATCTTACAGTCTCCTGAGGCTGCGCCGTCGTCCAGCTTGCTCGTAAACGCTTCTTGCATGCGGCCGCGCTCGAGCTTGGTGATGCGGGACTTTGCCTCCGTTGCGGCATCGGCTTCGGGTGCAACGGCCCCTTCGATGAGCGACTGCTGCGGCTGCTTCCCGGCACCGACAGAGGGCAGGAAGAAGGGCGCCTTTTCGGGGGCCTTGGGGGCCTCGGTCGGCTTGTTGCGCTGCTTGATCAGGTCCAGGTGGAGCAGCGTCTGCCAGCGACTTTTGGGCACCAGGGACAGCGTCGTCAGCTCAGCGCTGAGCTGGTCGACCGTTGGCGCGACGACAGTCTCGTCCTCTGCGTCTGCGTCGCCGTCTTCTGTGAAAGCCGCCTCCAGCAGGCCCTCGTTGCCTTCGCCGGACGTCGTGGGTCCCGCGAGCAGCGCGGCCTCCTTGTCCGAGATTTGCCGCGTCGGGACGTGCGTGAAGAGGGACTTATTGGTCCAGATGGCGACGCCGAGCTCGTTCTCAATCGTGGCGGCGAGGTACTCGCCCGAGGAAGACATGGCCAGCGCGGTGCAGGGCTTTTCGAGGCGGATGGCGTCAATGAGATGGCTGGTGGGCAGGTCCCATATCCTGACGACACAGTCCTGTGAAGCGGCGATGATCCAGCGGCCGTCGTTGGAGAAGCAAAAGTCGTTGATGGTGTCCTGGCAGCCCCAGAACTCTCTGATTGTTCTCTTCGTCTCCAGGTCGACGACGCGGACCGAGTTGTCGTCGCAGGTGAAGGCCATGAGGTCATTTGCGGCGTGGTATCGGCACCCGGTGATGGCGGCCATTGGTGCCCAGTTGATCTGGTGCACGAGGTTACCCGTGACAAAATCCCAGAACTTGATCTTGCCGTCAAGGGAGCAGGTGATGACGTTCTTGTTCATCGAGTCCACCACAATACCCGTTACTGCCTTTGTGTGTCTTCCTGTGCCAGGTGCAAAGCCACTGTTCTTCTCGGTGTGAAGCTGCACAACATCATCGGCCTGCTTTAGCTGCTGAATCTTCAGCGCTCTCGCTTGGGCGGGAGTGAGCTTGGACGGGAAACGCTGGCGGTGAATGCCGGATTGCAAGTTGTACATGTCGATGCTGCCCTCTACGGAACCGACCAGAGCGAAAGTACCGCAGGGACTGATGGCGATGGTAGAGACAAAAGAGCCGTCGCCCGTGGGGAATGCCCACCGGCCAGCTCTCTTGCGACCCCAGAACCATGTACGCGCCCAAGCGTCATCCTTATGTGCCGTCACGACGCTCTCCCAGCCAGTCGAGCCACTGACTTCGGCATCGAGCTTCTTCTTGTTCTCCCTGTGCTTCTGCCAGATGGGCTGGTTGCCGGGCAAGGCGCCAATGCCACCGTCGCGGTTGAGAGAGCTGGCGATGCAGGTAATCTCGGGGGCCTTGAGATCTTCCAAAGTCGTCGTAGGGCCCCTGGCCATCGCCTTTGCAGAAAGTATACCAGTCTTCTTCGCCATCTTGCGGATGTTTCCTTGGCTGAGCTCGGTGCTCTGACCATCACGTCGCATACTCCATCCCCAGAGACTACGATCTTGACCACCACTGAGGAGCCACTTGTTACCTGCATCGGCTCCGTCAAAGTCGGAGGGGAGGAACTCCAAGCACTTGACGGGCGCGGCATGGCCGCTGCGCTGGTGCAAGATACGGGGGATGGCGGAGAATGGGGTCTCGTCAAAGATCCACGTCTTGAGGGCGTTGTCCCGTCCACTGGTAACAACAACCGGCTGGCCTGACAGGAACTCAACCTTGCTAATTCCTCCTCGTACCAACGGACCGTCGCCAGACGGGGGGTTGTGCGCACTCCTCAGAACACCCATGACCCTGCCTCCATTGTTTAGGTCCCAGAACGTAACGTCTCCTGTGGCAGCGGTAGCGGTCGCCATGACACCGTCCTTGCGGCCATCATGACCTGCTCCCATGCCGTCAGATCTAAAAGAGATGGAAGTAACGGGTTCATCGTCGTGGCCGGCCTTGAGTTGGATAATTGGCTTATCGGTTAGGATGTTCTGGATCACTAGGTTGCCATTCGCGTAGGCAATGGCAAGGAGTGACAAGGCTGTGGTGGGCTGCATGCAGGTAACGGCGCCGCAGTCGGGGGTCGGAGGGAGAATGGTGTAGATGAGTTTGCCGGTGCTGACGTTCCAGATTTCGACCCAGCCGTCCTTGCGACCAACAAAGATCTTGTTCAGGTAGGTCGGCATGTTCGTGATCCCGCCCGTGATCTCGTTGGCGCCCGAATTGCCAGCCATGGTGTAGAGTGTGGTGTAGTGCTCCAGGGTGGCCGACTTCCAAACCTCGAGTCTCGTCACAGCGCATGCAACAATCCAGGAGCCGAAGATGAGAATTTGTTGAATAGGCTCGTTGAGGTCTTCGGGGAGCTCGAGCTCCTCAACCTTCTTTCCACGTTTGAATGCCCAGAGTCCTTGCTTCTCGCCCTTCCTGGCGTCGCCCCATGCGGCGAATACCTTGTCCTTCCATGCGAGCGTCGTGGTGATGTCGGCTGGGGTCTGGGGACGAGTAACGAAGACTAGATTGAGACCTCTCTTTAAATCGTAGGTCTGAAGGGCTCTTCCGACAGATGTCGTGATTTGGAAAGTCGTCTTTCCGAGGGGAATCGAAGTAAAGGGAACGTTTGTGGGGGAGACGAGGCCAACAGTCTGAGAGAAAGCATTGGCATTAGCATGGAAAGACCTGGATCGTCAGTATTCAAAAGACATACTCGGAAAGGCGCAAAGATGCGAGAGGATTGACGTGTGGCGGTGGCAGGCTTGGAGGCGACAGTAAGCTTCTGTCGCTTGACCAGAGGCCCTTCTTGTTCCGAGTGAGGCATTGTGGCGAGCATGTGGACTTGACGGACTCGAAGGCCTTTTCCGGGATGCGGTTCGTTCAAGGCCCTGAGGTACTGTCTTTCGAGTCGTCGCCCGAGATTTTTTTTCCAATCTTTTCGAGCAGACGTGCCTTATCTTATCGCGATCACAGATTTGCCGGGCTTTAGCCGACGGGTCTCTTTGGCCCCGCCATTGACGATTGAGGGGCGCGGGGCAAGTCCAATTGGGATTACCTGATTGGTTCTGCATCTTTTCCTGCGAGGTTCCCAAAACGGCTGACTCATTCCTGATCATCGATCACCTCATATACTCCATAGAGGGCGCCACGTAAACAAGTAGTAGGTAGTTGACAAAGCTCTTCACCGAACTGTAGCCACTATGGACCATGATATGTACCTCTTCTTGGGGTCTCGATCGGCTCCATGGAGTTTGGGTAATGGACTGTATGGAGGAACATGTTATGAAATCACAACCATTGCTGGGTACTACAAGTTCCGTAGATGTTGCGTTCGCCAGCAGCAGAGCCTAGAACTTTTCATCCAGTCTTTGGGTTTGGGACAACCTTATCGTGCATGCGCGGAAGAGGGGTGGGAGACTAAGGTAGCAAGGCGCCATTGATTGAGGCTCGAGGTGTCAGAAGCTGCATTCAGCTTCATGATTCGCCGGAAGCCTCCAGCTTGACAACGTTAGTGAACAGGTCCAGCTGTCAAGCGCTGGCTGCATAAGAAACCTACCTGAGCATTTTCAAGGTCTCGGTTGGTGTTGCTAGCTCCCCCACCTCTTTCTCACCTTTCAGCCGTCTGTGTGCCCGCCTCCAACGTCATCCTTGCTTCTGCCACGCCTGCGTCTAGAACGTTTTTACTCCTCCCTCGTTGCATCCTCTCGAGTGCCATGTCTTGGCTGGTGGGATTTCTAGAAAGTCCCTCTGCTGCATTATGAGCTGCTCTCGCTTGTGCCTACAGCCGCCGCCCCGCCACCTTGTCTCACGGCACACAGCTACCTACATACATCATCACGCTCGCGGCAACAAGTAGGCATTGGCAGTCTCGCAATCGCTCTTTTGGTGCGAGAACACGGGAGCAGCACGAGCTAGTACGTTATTGACTCTTTCATGTGTAGGGAAAAAAGAAGACAGGGACAGGGCTCTATCGTCTGTTACGATTGCTTGCCATTCTCTAACCTCGGTCGTCCAATGGGAAGGCCACGCAGGAGGTGCTGCACGCCCACGTTCTGGCGTCGCTTCTTCATCTGCCATTTGGACGGTACCTTTCTTGCCCAATAATAACCTTTTTCCATCTGGATGCAACAGCGAGCCCTCAACTCCAACTACTCCAAACTCCAAATTCCTCGCTGTAGACTTCACGTCATTTAAGAAACCCAAAAAAAAAACACAGTCTGCCACCTTTTCTCGTCTGGTGGAAACCCCTCCTTTTTTATCCTGTCTTGCGCTCTTCCACCTTGAGAGGTTCCAGCACCCTGACCGCTGAGTCGCTGTATTCCTACCTTGCTCGCCCTCCAATTCTTGTAGTCAAGGTACGAATACGGTACAAACCAACCAGAGAACAAAGCAACAAAGCAAACAAGAAAAAAAAAAGAAGAGAAAACTGCAAGGTTGTAGCCTCTACGACCCAGTCCCAGCAATCGTCGAGTCAGCAGCCGCCCCTCCAATACCTTCCATCTGATCAGTGCGCGCCTAAAAGGTCTCTCCATCGCCTCGGGGCGCATCTGGCAACATGGACCGACCGAATTTTAACACTCGACGATCCGTAGATAGTGCACGCTCGGCTACCGCTACCAATCCTGCTTCCCCTGCCACTGCCGCCGCGCCTGCTTCTCCCCTCAACCCTCACTCTTCCCAAACTTCGTCATCCTCTTCCCATTCGACCGTAAACTCCTCTGCTCCTACCGACGTTCCTCTGCGATCGAGGCCCGGACGCTCCGTCTCGCATTCCCTCAATCTATCCTCTTCTGCTAGCAGGAAGAGCCGACATGCCGAGCCTGGAACCACCGACGCCCACTCTGCCTCTGCTAGCCTTTCCATGCCCCCGCCCTCTTCGATTCCTCTAAAGAGCCCGAGAACTTCTCTCTGCCGTACCCGCCGAGAATCCAATACCTCGCTCGAAGCCTGGAGCGATTCCGCCTTGCAGTTTGCCGACGTCGACGAGGTCGACAATACCCCACGCCTCATGTCTGGGTCTAGCCAGCAAGATTCCACCACCGCCCCATATCGCCCCCTCCCCGAACCCGCCCTCACCTCCCGATCATCTTTTTCTTCCGAGTCCGACCTCAAGGACAAGCGCACATCCGTCTCCAGCATCTTTTCTGTCTACTCCCTGGCCTCGGCTCGCGGCGCCGCCCCAACTTCCGTCCCCGCCACCCAATCCTCTGCTGCTTCGACAAACGGCTCCGACGGTGGCCCTTCGCGCTCCGTTTCTGGCATCATGTCGTCAGGAAAACCAGTCACGAATGCCTCGCAACCCGGCGCCGAGCTCTCCAACGTTACTGTAACTACCTCTTCGAATGGTCAAAATGCCAATGCCGCCCCGGGTGGTCATCACCTGGCGCCGCGCGAGACCAATACCCATACGCACCACGAAGTAATCAAACGGCCTCCTCGTCCCGCCCAGCCAACGCGATCCCGCAGCCGCAACAAGCGCAGGTTCAGCGGAAGCACTGGTGCAAGCAGCCATAGCCCCAGCAGCGATCGAGGACCCTACCACAACAAGGAGAAAGAAGAGGGTCAGTCAAGAGATACAAGCGCGCCTCGACAACGTGTACCGACAAGCTCTAATGCGCCTGCAGTCAAGCCAGCGCCTTGGGGTGTTATTGGAGTTTGCGCTTTGGATGTCAAGGCCCGCAGCAAGCCTAGCAGGAATATTCTGAACCGACTCATTGCTAATCGCGAGTTCGATGTCGTTGTGTTTGGTGACAAGGTCATTTTGGACGAAGGTAAGCCGCCGTTTCGCTCAATAGAGAGGAGCAACCCAGATTCGAGCAAATTGGAAATCTAGGAGCTGCATTACGTCGGAAATTTTGCTAACCACGGTGTTCGTCATGTAGAGGTCGAGAATTGGCCCATGTGGTGAGTAGTCAGAATATTTCTTATGTTTCGCTGACGGCTCGGTGAGCCAAAACAGTATAGCCTCTTCCTGCATCACCAATCCTTCAACCCATGCACAAGACATCTCCCACCTCTCACAGATCCCCAACCAGTCACAGGCATCCTTTCAACTCTACTCCCTATTCATCTATAGTCGCCGAGGCCATTACGAAAGTGGTTTTCTTGCGTACAGGTACTAACAATTTCCTCAGTGATTATCTCATCTCATTCTATTCGGATGGCTTCCCCCTGGATAAGGCAATTGCCTACGTCAAGGCTAGAAAACCGTTCTGCGTCAACGATGTGCCGATGCAGAAGATTCTTTGGGATCGTCGTCTATGCCTCAACATCTTAGACGGAATTGGCGTGGCTACGCCGAAACGCATCGAGGTGAACCGTGATGGCGGACCTAAGCTTTTGACCGCAGACACTGCAAAGCATATCAAGGAGATTACTGGTATAACCTTGGACGCCGAGGATCTGGGCTACAATAGGCTTCCCCGCAAGGTCGAGCTTCTCGACGACGGCGACATTCTCAGCGTCGACGGCGCTCTGCTCAAGAAACCCTTTGTCGAGAAGCCTGTCAGCGGTGAAGATCACAACATCATCATCTACTTCCCCAAGTCCACCGGTGGTGGTGCTCGCCGGCTGTTTCGCAAAATTGGCAACAAGAGCTCCGAGTATGATCCCGACTTGAACATTCCTCGCGCTATTCTGGAGCCAGAGAATAGTTACATTTACGAAAAGTTCATGAGAGTTGACAATGCTGAGGATGTCAAAGCCTACACTGTGGGACCCAACTACTGCCACGCAGAGACTCGGAAATCTCCAGTTGTCGACGGTGTCGTCAGACGAAACACGCACGGCAAGGAGCTGCGCTATGTCACGGCATTGGAGCCTGAAGAGAAGGAAATTGCGAGCAAGATTTCAACCTCTTTCGGCCAAAGAGTTTGCGGCTTCGACTTCCTGCGGGCCGGCGGCAAGAGCTATGTCATCGACGTTAATGGTTGGAGCTTCGTCAAGGATAACGACGATTACTATGACCACTGCGCCAACATTCTCAAGGATGTCTTTGTCAAGGAGAGGCTTCGCAGAGGCGGCGTCACCTCTCCCGTACCATCACCTTCTCCCTCGGATATGACTGATCCATTGGCATCGCGCGGAAAGGAGAAGGAGGCTTCGCAACCTATCCCTGTGCCACCGGCGCAGAATAAGTCCGTGACCAACGTGTCGGCCGTTTCTGAGAAGCTGCCCCAGGAGCCGAAGCCCATACCAGCGAGTGCACCGCCTCAAAAGTCGGAGAGTGCACTCCCCTCTGCTGTCACCAGTTCGTGTACCAGCCCTACTCTTCCTCCTCCACCTCCGCTGGTAGATCCTGCAGTGGCGAGCGTCCCTTCCACCGTGGGAACGGGGTCAGCGACTCCATCCGCCGCGCCTTCGCTGCAAGGGGAGGGCACTGCGCCTCCTGCAGAGGAGGCTCCAGTGCCGCCGCCGCCACCGAAGCACTCTTGGAAACTCAAGGGCATCGTGTCCGTCATTCGACATGCTGATCGAACTCCGAAGCAAAAGTACAAGTTCACTTTCCATACAGCGCCCTTTATTGAATTACTCAAGGGTCATCAGGAAGAGGTGCTCCTCATAGGAGAGGCCGCTCTGGCCAGCGTACTGCAGGCCGTAGATGTCGCGTTGAGAGCTGGCGTAGAAGACCGCGCCAAGTTGAAATCGCTGCGTAATGTCCTCGTGAAGAAGGGCGGATGGGCTGGCACCAAGGTCCAAATTAAGCCAATGTTCCGAAAGAAGAAGACGGAAGAGGTCGCAGTTTCGTCAGGCGACGAGCTTTCACAAGTCTTGAAAGAAGGCGTTGAAACGGACTTCGCAGAGAAGACTGATGATGGTGCCGCAAAGACGGAAAACTCTTCACCGTCCAGGATGCCACCCAAGAGGCACGACTCACTTTCTGGTATGACCATGTCCCGCATCACAGCAGCGGAGGAAAGCTTGGTCCTAGAGAAGCTTCAGCTCATTGTGAAATGGGGCGGTGAGCCAACACATTCGGCACGCTATCAGGCCCAGGAACTGGGTGAGAACATGAGAAACGATTTCAATCTGCTTAACCGAGATGTCCTTGACGAGGTTCACGTTTTCAGCAGTTCTGAACGTCGCGTTACTACCAGTGCGCAAATTTGGGCTTCTGCTTTCCTGGATCGCAAAGATCTCCCTGAGGACTTCATCACTATCCGCAAGGATTTGCTCGACGACTCCAACGCTGCCAAGGACGAGATGGACAAGGTGAAGAAGAAGTTGAAGGGTCTTCTTCGCAAGGGTAACGAGCGACCTTCCCAATTCGCTTGGCCGGAGAAAATGCCCGAGCCTTCAGAGGTTCAGACGCGCGTTGTTCAACTCATGAACTTCCATCGTCGCGTAATGCACTACAACTACAGCAAGCTGCACAACGGTAGTGCCGTTGCTTCTTTGAATAATGCCATTGCCAACCCGGGTTCCGAGAAACCCACAAGTGCCGAGGCATCAGGCTCGACAAGCTCCATGTCCTCCTCACTGTCTCAGGCGAATGCGGTGAGCAACATTCAACCCAGATGGTGTTGTGGCGAGGATGCCGAGCTCTTCAGGGAACGCTGGGAAAAGCTTTTCGCGGAGTTTTGTGACGGAGAAAAGGTCGATCCAAGCAAGATCTCCGAGCTTTACGACACGATGAAGTTCGATGCTCTGCATAACCGGCAGTTCTTGGAATGGGTATTCACACCGCCCAAAGCCATGCTGGAGGAGGAGTACGGTATCAAGGACAAGGAAAAGGACAAGGACAGCAAGGACGGTAGCAAAGAGGCGAAGACTGCCGAGAAAACATCCGATGAGGGGAAGTCGTCGCAGGACTCCCGCGAGGAACGACGGGATTTCTCGGGATCTAGCGATAAGGCAGACAAGAGCGAAGCCAGCAAGAGCTCAACATCTGTCAGACGCATCTTCCGACGGCGGTCGTTCCTCAACGGTCTCCGACACGTCGAGGCAGCCCCGCCTGAACAGTACTTTCACCTCTACAAGAGCAACACTCAGACCAAGGCAAAGACCGATGCCAGGTTTGAGCCGTTACGGGAACTGTACCAGCTTGCCAAGGTTCTATTCGACTTCATCTGCCCTCAAGAGTACGGTATCTCTGATGGGGAGAAGCTGGAGATTGGTCTTCTGACATCGTTGCCGCTGCTCAAGGAGATTGTCCAGGATCTTGAGGAGATGCAAGCATCGAACGATGCCAAATCCTTCTTTTACTTTACCAAAGAGTCTCACATTTACACCCTGCTCAACTGCATCCTTGAAGGAGGGATCGAGACGAAGATCAAGAGAAGCACTATTCCCGAGCTTGACTATCTTTCGCAGATCTGCTTCGAGCTGTATGAATCGGAGACCAAGGCCCCTGCCGCCACACCCGACGGGGGCGAGGAGCAGACATTTGCCTACAGCATCAGAATCACCATTAGCCCCGGATGCCACGTCTTCGACCCGCTAGATGTCCAATTGGACAGCAAGCATTGCATCAGCTGCGCTCCGCGACGCAGTCTGACCCCTCACGGCGATTGGATGCAAGTAATCCGCACTCTGAGGGCTAAGTTCAACCAGTAAGTTTCGCTCCAGCAAATGGCTTACCTGGTTTTTGGGGTGTGATGCTAACGAGTGGTATTGCAGAGTCAAACTTCCCAAGACGTTCCTCGCTGTGAACTTGTCAGATCTCTTTTCTGTCGAGGACCATGAACGACGGGATAGTGACAGCGAGGGGCTCGAAATGAAGGGATTGCATCCTAAGCCCAAGGTATCAGAGCAGCAAACCACTGCCCACTCAGAAGCCGAGAGCGGAACAGGAAAGGAGGAGCTTGTCTCAGCGGGCCAGGCTCTTGCTTCAGCCTCGTCGGTTGTCATGGATGATGAGGAGCCCGTTAGCCCGAGAACCAAGCCTGACGCTTCAACCGAGACAATTTCCCAGGTGGCAGCAGACTCTGCCGAGTGATCGAGCCGGCGTACTTGGCTTAAGTCTCGTAGTTATCGAGACAGGATTACAAAGATACGGTGGGAGGTACAAAACGTGAGAGAACAAGCGATGGACAGGAGGCAAGAAATATAGCATGGATAGACTCAAGCGCATTATTAGCAACGATAGCGGAAAATCAAACAGTATCATCCAAGACCTTGGCAAGTCGCTGGCAATGAAGGCAAGACGATGTTGAGGTGCAACGTCATTGGAGTTGTCGTCAGAAGTTGGATGTGACGCGGGCCGAGCTCGCCCCAGCATTGGTCTTGCGTGCTAGCCAGAAGAGAGTCTCATCCATGGTACCGTACCACTGCTCGGCAAAAGGGAAAAAACATGGCATCTCGCAAGGTCGGCAACAAAATGAACGATGCACACCGCAATTCCTCATCACCCCTGTGGTAAATCCCATGAGGTGCAGCATCGGCTGCAGGGGTTTGGGGTCTTCAGTTGCCTTGCAGCGCATGGCAAAGTACGGATATCCGTTGCAAGTACCGTGGAAGCGAGACGGCCAGAGGACCTGAGGTAGCATTCCACGGAAAGTACCCCCGTCGTACCTTGAGACGGGCTGACAGCTAGTCTGATGGAGATGGGTCATGGTTACGACCATTTTTCGAGCAGGGTCATCTGTCTGGCTCGCTTATAAGTTCGATACGGACGCTGAATATCGACGAGGGTCGGCAAGAAGGTTTCAGAATCGACAGATGTGAAAAGGTTAGTTTTTTTGGCGACTCGGAATTGCAAGTCCGGTGCTTGTGGTTACCTGGCTCGTCCCGCCCAGTTCGTCCAAGGCATGATGAAATCTGGTCCTACCTTACCTTGACTGGGGAGGGGGGAGGGGTCCCAGATTGACGGCGATGGACAAGGTCCGAACTTCAGACGCTCCCGCGTGCCGCGTGTGGATCATTCTTCATCACGCCCCAGAATTTTATTCTGCATCGGATCAGGCAAATGGTCAGGTATGGACAAGGGGCCTGGAAGTCCCGCAACGTCTGCGCCTGATAGAAGCGTCGCCTATGGGATGGAGGGGAAACCCCTCTCATAGTTCGTGCTGTAAAGATAGGTGTGGTTGCGCGCCCCGAAGTAGTTTTGAGACTTAGTTCATCATAGGTCCTCGAGGGTTGCGCGCCCTGTGTCTTCGTTCCTCCTCCTTCTTCTTCATTTGCTCAATGGAGAGGGAAAGAGTCCTGGAACGACCGGGCTGCGATTGTGTGCGAAAAGTGTAGCCGTCCAATAGCGGCAAAGCGGTCTCGCAGGGGCAGGCTTCCGATCCGCAAGGACAGGCAGGGAAGTGCTTCAGAGAGCCTGTTCCTCGCCTAAAGTAATCGACTTCTCGAAGCTATCGGGTCTGGGGTACTTGACGCCTGGCAGAAGGGATGGTCGTTGAGGAACCAAACCGTCGTGCTGCCTCGGCTGGAGTTTTTTGTCGCCAGAAAGGATCATCGAGACAGATAATAGATGGTTTTAAGGCCAGCTAAGAAACGTCTCTAAGCTCACTTAGGTCAGTCGATCCTCCGCTCGTCTGCGTGGGTGAATGGATAGCTAAAGCTTGCCTGGGAGGAAGAAAGTAGTTGTTCATTTTATGTCGCTAACACACCAATTCCAACAGGCGAATCCCAATTTTGAGACGTGATCAGTCTTTGGCAATGATCATCTGAGCAGAAGCTCCCTTAGCCTCCTAACTATCGGAAAGCACGAAGTAAACCGCGGTTTTCGCTTAGGGAATACATGGCCATTTGATATTCAGGCTCGAGACATGCTCGAAATGTCGCAGATGAGATTGAATGTGAGAAGCAGAAGAGCACCATTAGTCGACGTCCTCAGGCAGTCCACCTGAATCTATTGCATGTGAGCATCACCGGCGCATGGGTAGCGAATAGTGAAGTTACAGGCTCAACGCGGTGATTCAGGAATTCGATGCCATTTGAGAGAAGGCCGCTATAAGAATCATCTCGGAGTAGAGTCTCCTGCTTTCGATTAGAGACAATACATAAGCGCGTAATCTGCCTCGGTACATTTTTGTTCTTGTTGTGCCTTGTTTTGAAAAGATCTGGCAGCGAGATGGTGGCATGGTCTGGAGAATGCCTGTTGTTGAGTAGGATGGCGAATAGTGGAGTACATCGGCTGGGATGTTGTTATGGGGATACAGTGAGTACCCATCTAGGTCGTTAGCGAGGGAGCGCTGTGAATACGGGCACGGAGTAAGACCCGGATCCAATCACGCTGTCTCGCGGCAGGGCAGGATATGTGGAAGGACTCGCCAAGAACATTGCGAGTGACCAAAATCATCATTTATCGGTTGATTCGACATAGCCTCGAGGCTCATGGGGTTGAAAGTTGTGATAGTGTTCCCCGAAGGATAGGCGGGTCAGTGCCAACATTTGCGAATTTTCATGTTACTCAGGTTTTGAGTCCATTCTAGGACAACAAAATTGAGCGGGGCGAGAGAAAAAGATGTCTCTCTGGTAATATGATTTGGCGTTGTTTTCGAGTTGAGCCGGTGGTCGCCCCTTGTAGCGAGGTGCAGATCTTGGCCGGCATCAAACGGTCAGGGTGCATGTACATCCTTGCCAGCCAGTCACATCATCTCGAGGGGTCGAATTTGCTGGTTGGTCGGTCGTGTCGGCCTACTGCAATTCTCATGGTCTTCTGGCATTTGACCGGCACTGCTTTCGCTTCGTCGAAAGGGTGTGAAGGTAATCGTCCCAACTTGACCGAGTGTGGTCCTTACCGGGGCGCTATCGAACCACAGTCCAAACCCCCATGTCTGAACGAGCCGGGAGGGAGGGAACCAGCGCAACGTACTGCGCTGTAGCGAGTAAAATCGTAACATGGGACAATCCATGATCATATTGACCACCCACAGTTCGACGATGCGTCGTCGTAAGCGGGTATTGAGAGCATCGGAGGTGGGCGAAATACATGCTTGTCGTTAAGAAGCCAAAAGGCGTGGTCATAGTGGGTTAGATTCTGCGGACAAGACTGGAATTGGTCTTGTGGGTGGGGAACCGAGGGCGAGCGCGAAACGAGCGCGGAGTCTCGTGAAGTGGAATCTTGACGTCTGTAAGGTCAGTGAGCCCGGTTTGGAGACAAGGCGGAGCGGAGAGCCTCGACCGTGTCGTTGGAAAGGAACGGGAAAGATAGAGAGAGGGGTCGGAGAGTACCGAACACGGCCAGTTCAAGTTGAGCTCGGCCTTTTAGCAGGGCCTAGAAAAGTAGCTCTGAATAGGGTCAGGCTGAGAATCGACAAGCGGCCGAGGATTCGAGATAGCTCGATGTATGTATCATTCATGTCTGTATTCCGTACCCGTGCTATTGTGTAGTGTAGTCAACTTCGCCTTGTACGTAGGTATTGCTAGCGGCCGAGGCTCTTGAGGATTTTCAGTGCTGACACCAAATATTGGATGCTTGTCGATCATATTGACAGGCGGAAAATGCAGTGTGACGCTCTGTGACGATAGGTGAGAATGCATTTGTCCCCTCGATGGCAATCAAAAGGGTCAAGTGAAGCGGCGGTGGCCGGGTATTGACGCAACAGACATTACGTGAATGAAGGGAGGGGTTGAAGGAAGCAAGGCTTACGTAGTCCCATGCATGGCATCATGTGGAAATTAGATGAAAAAGATGCCCGCAGCCAGCAGACAGCTCCATGAGCAATGGGCGATGGGCAATGTTGAAAGGGAAGGACGCGGAGAGGCGGCCGACAGCGGGAGATTGAAGTCAAAATGGAAGGCGGTTCCAACGTCGCGGATGAGCCGCTAGGACCCAGCGGGCCAAATGTGACTGTCTCCGTCATTGTCATTGGCAATGCAGTGAGAGTGGATGAGAAGTGGATTTGGGAAGCGTGACATGGAGGTCATGTGATGCCAACCGTGACAAGCTACGATCCAGGGCAAGAGCAGTGGTGTTTGCAGAATACCTTAAGGTACCTCAAGCCCAAGTACCTTTCCTGGGCGCGGGATGGAAGGAGTGAGTGAGGGGATGACATTTCGTTCTTTGTACCAGAACTGATGTTGGAGATGGGGCATCACGGCATGAGGCGGGCGAGCCGAGCTAAGAAGGTGCCGGGAGACATTCCAGAGTCTCTTCCTTCCAGATTGATGGCTTCGGCTGGCCAGGAAGAGGTGTCTTGGAGTGAATGGAAGTTGCTTTACGCCGTAGATATCTAGACTTGCCCAATTAGTATTCGTACCTTAGCATGCGCTGCGCCCTTGCTTGCCTCCATCCCGTTCTTCAGGCGCTTGCCCGTACGTACTCCGCAAGTTAGGTATGTACTCCGTATCGCATGAGCGAGAACGTGGGTGGCACCAAGGGGTCTCGGTCGACGGTCAAAGCTGATGTGCGCTGCGTTCGCCTTGCCTTGTCATACCCAAGATTGCTAGATATGGGAATGGGTGTGCAAGTCTCGAGCCTCAAACTTCCGGCTTCCTTCGGTTTTCAAGAACCCACGTAGTTTGTAATTGGGATAGACACATTGAAATCTGTGACCGGTCTGGAAAGTGTGGTTCTGCGTTGGCAATCGGTCTGGGAAGGCATCGATCAAACGAGACTCGCTACCGTACCTACCTCAAGAAAGTTGGCGAAGAAAGGCAGCCACCTGGGGCTCCCCTCTGTTGTCTCCCTGCGCCTGCCAGAAACACACAATCTTCAATCCGGGCAGCATGCAGCTTTCAACTTTGGGATGCCACCACCAGTATCACTGCACCAGACCAGCCTGAAGGTTGTGTGGGTTTTTGCTTGTCAGGCCTGTCCGGGAAGGAAGCTTTGACGTTGAGTTTCCGGTCCTTGCCTAAGTAGGCGCTATGCAGAAGGTGGAACTTTACCTCACCCTAAGGTAAGCAAGCTAACGCCCGAGGATATTTCGCAACTCCAGTCCGGGTTCTGCAGCATCCACACCACTCACTCTAGCCCGGCATTCCTACACTATAGCCTGAAGCCAGAATCCAATCTGACCGCTGGCAACAAACAAGACAGCGTCCGCG